CGTTCCCTTTAGACGTCCCCTTTAGACGTTCCCTTTAGACGTCCCCTTTAGACGTCCCCTTTAGATGTTCCCTTTAGATGTCCTGATGCATCTCAGTAATCCAGGTAAAAAATCAAAGGAAAAAAAAAATTGTATAGGTCCTCTGGACGGGTTCTTCTTTAATGAAACGTTTCGTCTCTCTTCCAAGAGACTTCTTCAGTCTGAGAGTTTCAGGCAAAATTCCAATTTTGCCTGAAACTCTCAGACTGAAGAAGTCTCTTGGAAGAGAGACGAAACGTTTCATTAAAGAAGAACCCGTCCAGAGGACCTATACAATTTTTTTTTTCCTTTGATTTTTTACCTGGATTACTGAGATGCATCAGGACATTGAGTTAAGCTGTTTTTGTACCCAAACTTATGCACCTACCTAATTTTGTTTAACCAATTATTCCACACTTTCTGTAAATCATTTAAATTTCATTTCACTTCTCAAATATCATTGTGTTTGTTCCCTATATGAAATATTATTTAACTGATTTTTTTATTCAAACAATCAATCATTTATAAAGGTAAATCAGGAAAATTAACATGGCTGCCCAAGCTTTCGCACCCCACTGTATGTCATCACATGGTCCTTATAAGTATAGACATTCAAATGTATGTGTGTATACCTGTTTTTTGTTACCTTTATAGGATTGTTTCTGGTATACACACCTACCTTGTGTCAGGACCAGTAGTTATTTTGGGGACCAAAAACCAAATATGGTAGAACATCATTTTTGGATTAGGGGTTAGGTTTGTGACCAAGGTATGGATTGAGTTTAGGTTACGGCTAGAGTTAGTTATGTATTAGTTATGGCTTGGGTTAAGGTAAAAGTCAGGATTAGGTTACAGAAATGACTGGAAAGAAATGGCAGGCAATGCATGGCCCTAATAAGGATAGAAATACAAACTTGTGTCTGTGTGTTTGGAGCTTCAGTGAATTACAACAGATAAAGCCATATGTTGTCTGTCAGTTTCTCGTCTCCTCTCCTCCGCTGTACACAACACTTCTATCTATTATTGCTATTCAGCACACATACTGTTCACATTCTGCAGCGACAGAAACACACACAGTATCACAAACTAGCCTAGAGTCACACCCACACAAACTTGATGCATATTTACACACAGATAGCTGTGACTAAAATGCTCAGTAAAAAAAACGGCCATTGTTTTTCTTTCACAGCAGATGCTAGCTGTCTCTAATTGGCTCAGCAAAAACAAAGGAAAGGCCTTGGATGCCCCGCCGCATCTGCGTTCTTTTGGTCTACAGGGAAGCCCTCTGCTACACGAAGACACATAAAGGGTCCTTGGATGTAGCTGACCTTTTTGCTGTGCAAATAAGACCGATTCCTGATTACATGGCACAGTTTCAGGGCCTGTAATGAATCAGTAAGCAGCCAGCGAACTTCAGAGAAGTTCTGACCAAGGGAGAGTTCCTGAACTCTATATGCAAATGTTTTGAGGCTACAGATTTAAAAAATAATGCCTGGTCAAGACTTTATTTTTTCATGTGTATGAAATTCACCACCTGAACCTATTTGTCGAACAAAAGTTTACACACACACACACACACACACACACACACACACACACAC